GCGCACCTCCGCGCTCACCCGCCGCGGCGCCTCTGTCCCCCGCAGGGCTTCTTCAAGCGCACGGTGCAGAACAACAAGCACTACACGTGCACCGAGAGCCAGAGCTGCAAGATCGACAAGACGCAGCGCAAGCGCTGTCCCTTCTGCCGCTTCCAGAAGTGCCTGACGGTGGGGATGCGCCTGGAAGGTGCGCGGCCCGCGGGCCTCCGCCCCGGCTTCCCCGCGGCTCCCCGCGGCCCGGGAGGCCTCGATGGGACTGGGAAGAGGGGCTGCGGCGAGGGTGGGGTGGGGGAAGCAACATCAGCCTTCTGGAAGTTTCTTAGGCGCTTGGCTAGTGGCCCCCCTGGCATTCATTGGAGCCTGGAGGAGGGGGGGGGATGTTTGCCAGGGCCCCCCGCTGAGGTTGGGGTGAGAAGCATCTGAAAGTGAGCCCAGGAGTAGTGCCCCCAAGAGAGCAAAGCAACCCCTCCCCATGAGGAGTTCCCCGCCCCCACAGATACCCCACACCAACCACAGCCAAGGCCTTCAACACCTTGACTTCAAGTCCCAGTGCCACTTCTTGCAGGCTGGGGGACATTGGGCAAATTCCTTAACCTCTCTGCGCTACAGATCCCCATCTGGAAACAAAATGAGTAGTTCTTTCTCCTGTTCCTGGAGAGCTATGGTGAGGGTGAAGGGAAAGCCTGAGGAGCCTGGTTTTCCCAAATACTCAGCAGATTGTTGTTAGTTCCATACGTTCTGCTTTTGTGCATTCTTACTGTCCAGCCCCCGTGTGTCTGTCCATCCATCCTTGAGGTTATTCAGCCCGCGAGATTCTCTCCCTTGTCTCAATGTTAAGGACTAAACTCAAGGCTTGTGTTTGTGCTCTGCCACTTGCTCCCAGACCTCCAGTCCGTTTCTTAGCTTGGCTCTGAGGTTGCTGAGTGGTGAGGAACAATGACCCCCCTCGGACCCAGGCCCATCCCTGACCTGCCTCTTCATCCAGACAGGAGGGAGTTAGTTCAGCCAGAGACCTCAGCTATGCGAGGATGCCTTCACCCTCCGGCCCGCTGGGCTGCGCGCCCGGCAGGCAGCTGTTGGTAAAGTTTCTGAACAACCTAGGAACCCCCCAGAGGCTCTGAGAGCTGCAGACCCCTGGAGGAGCGACTGCCCAGCGGGAGGGGGACATGGTGCTGTCCCCAGAGCCTACATCCCGGAGATGTACCTGTTGGGTCTGGCTGGTGATGCATTCTTGGCAGGCAGAGGAACATCTGGTCAGCAAGAGAGGCCCCCTCCCCCAGCCCAAGCCTCAGCCAACCCCAAACTCAGTTCCACACTGGAAGCCAGTGGGAGGGAGCCCCAATTATCTTGTAATGGAGGTTCAGTAGAGTCAGGGAGTTTGTCCCTAAGTTGGATACTGGGCATCCAGCCATGAGCAAAGCTGAGCAAGTTCCCTTTCACGTTACCATCTTCTCATCAAGCCCTGAACCCAGCACTCTTAGCCTGGGGGCGGGGGGCATATGCATGATGCACTCAGCACGATAAGAATGGGCAGTGAGTAGACAGGATATTGAGGAGATTCTGCTGGGTAGATCCAGGAGTACATCCTGGAGGAGGTGACATTGAGGCTGTGTGTTCAGCAAGCTCAGAGAAAGATGGGGTTGAGGAAGAGGTAATAGCAAAGGTAGGGTAGGCATGGAAGAAGTGTCAAGCAGAGAAAACGCAGGGTGGAAGGGCCCCTAGGGCCCTTTAGCTGCCCTTTAGCAGCTGAAACTGCTGAAGAACCTGACTCCCATCTGCAGGGGGGGGGGGAAGGGGGGAGGGGAGGGGTAGGAGAGGGAGCAAAGCAAGTAGCAGAGGTGGTGGCGACACAGCTTTTAGGGGCAGGGTGCTAAGGAAGGCAGCGGTGATGCCTGACGACCCCCCCCCACCCGTTCCTCTTCCCCACAGCTGTGCGAGCTGACCGCATGCGTGGTGGCCGGAACAAGTTTGGGCCCATGTACAAACGAGATCGGGCTCTGAAGCAGCAGAAGAAGGCACAGATTCGTGCCAATGGCTTCAAGTTGGAGACAGGTCCCCCCATGGGAGTGCCACCGCCCCCTCCCCCCGCTCCGGACTACATGCTGCCTCCCAACCTGCATGCACCTGAGCCCAAGGGCCTGGCCTCTGGCCCAGCCAGTGGGCCACTGGGTGATTTTGGAGCCCAGCCGCTGCCCATGGCTGTACCAAGCACCCACGGGTCCTTGGCAGGCTACCTCTACCCTAACTTCTCTGGCCGCACTATCAAGTCCGAGTACCCAGAGCCCTACGCCAGCCCCCAGCAGCAGCCTGGACCGCCCTACGGCTATTCAGAGTCCTTCTCTGGGGGGCCCACTGTGCCGGAGCTCATCCTGCAGCTCCTGCAGCTGGAGCCTGAGGAAGACCAGGTGCGTGCGCGCATCCTGGGCTGCCTGCAGGAACCTGCCAAAAGCCGTTCCGATCAGCCCGCGGCCTTCGGCCTCCTGTGCAGGATGGCGGACCAGACCTTCATCTCCATTGTGGACTGGGCCCGCAGATGCATGGTGTTCAAGGAGCTGGAGGTGAGTCCCTCCTCCCGGCCCACCAGCCTCTGGCTCTGGCGTGTCTACCCTCTTGCTCAGCTGCCCATGCCCTGACCTCTGTCCCCCTATAGTTGGGCTGTCCTGGGTACTGCTACTCCTGCTTACTGGGGTTCCTTCTCCCTCTCTATTTATTCGCTGGCTCCTACAGCCTCTGCTGCTTTGATCTCTGCCTCTGTTTCTTCGCGCTGGCTCCTTCCCACCACTGTCTCCCGGCCTGCGTTTGTGTCTCTAGGGCGACACCAGTCTCTGGTTTGCTCTTGGTCAGGGTTCTTGTGGGAATCTCCCCTCCCCCGCCCCGAGACCCTGGGCACCTGGGATTGCACCTGTGCTGGAGGAGGAGTAGAGTTGGAGATTCTAGAGCCAGCTACTGATCTGGCCAGATAAGGCAACCTTTCTCTATCTCCAGACCCAGAGTTATGGCACCTGTGGCAAGAAAGCAGCAGGAGAAATCGAGGGCAGATGTAGGAAAGAACTTCCCAGTCGCCAGGCGCCCATGGCTCATGCCTGCAATCCTAGCTATTCAGGAGGCTAAGATCTGAGGATCGCAGCTTGAAGCTAGTCCGAGCAGGAAAGTCTGTAAGACTCTTATCTCTAATTAACCACCAGAAGACCCAGAGTGACAAGGTGGCTCAAAGTGGTACAGCACTAGCTTTGAGCAAAAAAGCTCGGGGACAGCGCCCAGGCCTGAGTTTAAGCTCCATGACTGACCAAAAAAAAAAAAAAAAGAAAAATTCCCAGTCTTGTCACCTCGTGCTGTGAGGTGTCCGAGGCCTGGGAGCTTCCCCCTGCGGCGCTCTGGTTGCTTAGGAAGCCACTCTTGAGACCCCAGGCCTGGCCAAGGCCATCATTGCCTGGCGTGTGTTCAGTTCCAGCCTATTGGTTTCTCTTTTTCCCAGTTCAACCCCCTGGCTGCCGGGGCCGCCTGTAGCCTTGAACAGCATTGTCCGCTGATGCCACTCAGACCTGAGCTTCCTCTGGGCCTGTGGCCAGATGGGCTGGGGACACTGTCTCTGGCTAGCATAGAGAGATGATACCTGGGGTAATGAACACTGAGGCGCAGGGGGCCTGGGGTCAGGCCTGGGAAACTCTCGAGAGTCAGCACTGATGGAGGGTGTGGTTCAACTGTGGAGGCCTGCCATGGCTGAGAGCTGGGGACATGCCATGTCTCTCTCACAGGGGGGGCTTCGCACCCCAGGCCCCTCGCCCCCGCCCTGCACTGATGGTGGTGAGGGGAATTTCAAAGGGAATGAGGATCCCAAGACTTTTGGGTGGGCTTCCAGCTTCCTTGGACACTTCCCATGAAGCCCCTGTGTAGAGGGGCGGGGCTGCGCATTCTCAGCCTCTCGGAACCCTGGGTCCAAGGGCAGGGCACTTCCTCTGGCTGCCTTCCTAGTCTCCCGGGGCTTCACGCAGGATGGGAAGGGCTTTTGTCCAGTTTACTGAGTGTTTTTTCCTGCTTCTGGCTTCTCTGTGGTCCATACCTTCCTGCTTCCCCTTCCCAGAAGTCCTGCATGGAGCCCAGGAATATGGGCCACAGTCACTGCTCCATAAGGGACCCTTGCAGATAAGCACCGGCCCAGGCCTCACAGGGCCTTCCACTGGCCCAATGGGCCCTGGGCTGGTGTCGGCAGAGACAGGTGTGAGGGTCCAGAAAAATGAGAGATGCCAAGTGACTCTGTTCTCCCTTTGGCTCGCCATCCAACTGCTCTCCTCCAAGCAGACAAAGGAGAGTTCCAGCTCTGAGAGAAGAGCAGTGCCCTAGCTGGACACTGGGGACATTGACATGAGGTGAACCCAAGAAGCTGCCAGGCTTTAGAAGACAAGCACATATAGACATAGCCACGGTGCCCTGGGCTGTGTGAGCAATGGATGGGGCCAGAGGGAGCCCAATGGGAGAGCACAAAGCTACAGAAGTCAGAGAAGATTTCCAGAAGAAATCAGAGGCAGACCAGGGCGTGCAAGCAGTAGGAACAGCAGAGGCAAAAGCTCAGAAATGTGCCAAGGCCTCTGGAAATTCCAGGGGGTTCTATGAAGCAGGGCTAGGAAGGTTGGCGGATCAGAGCAGAAAATGAACCAGAAGTGGATGCTGGGGGCAGTGGGTGGCAGATACTCTGAAGAGCAGGCTGAGCCCCTCATCCAGGCCAAGAAAAGATCTCAGCCCAGGGCCTGAGCCCTCCACAAAGGAGCCCGTGGCATCTTCCCCCACAGGAGAAGGAAGGGGCAGTCATGGTGGGGCTCAACTGAACTGTCAGGGACACGCAATCCTCAGTACTCTGTGGGCTTTCCTCTTCCTCTGTCTCCATTTTCCCACTTCCCACTATCATAGCAAGTTGGGCCTGGGTCCTGTTACCAAGTTCCACCTCTGCCCCTTACTAGCTCAGCCACTTTGACCAAGTGACTAGGCTCCTCTGCGCCGTTTCCTCACCTGGAAGGTGGGAGGAATGGTGAGGGTTTGGTGAGTGGGGATGGGGAAGAATTCCTGACAGGGCTGGCACACAGGAAGTTTCATCAGTGGGCTCAGCCCCTCCCTTCCTGCCTGCTCCTGGCTGCAGTGTAACACTGGATCTCCACTGGCAGGCAGCGGGAGGCCTGGCCAGGAAGGGAACAGAGGAAGATACATTGTGTCTGTGCGCCTCTGTTACCAGAAAGATGCCCCTACTTTGTCCTGGGCTGGTGAAACAACGTGTTACCCTCAGGGTAGCAGAGGCTTATCTTTCTCTGCTGCTCAGTGGGGGCAGTGTCCTTCCCAGGAGCTCAGCCCCTGGCAGGGAGGGGGAATAAGGGCCCCCTAAACACTGGTCTCACATCCGTTCACCCTGGACATCCGCTCCAAGGCCCCACTGGCTACAGATCTAATTGCCCAGATAGAGGATTTTGTGGAGGCCACAGGAACCGTCAGCCCTCCGCTGACAAACGATGGCCCCTCACCATTCCACTCGGCGTGGCCAGCCCAAGACACATCAGCCACCAGAGTTACTGAGCCACTGGCCTTCAGCTGCCAGACCCTCAGACCCCAGGGGCTCCAGAGGAGCTTGCTGGGGGAGAGGTCAGCACAGCATCCATAAATACCCCTTCTCTAAGGCAGGCTGCACAGTGTCAAGGCTCCGGGAAGATTTGTGGCAGGCCCAGCAGACAGGCCAGCCTGGGGAGGGTCCCTGGGGCCAGGACTGTAAATGTCCTTGTTCTCAGGGCAGCAGGGAGGTCTGAGATGGAGGGGGTGGAGGCGGGGGAGGAAGCTGTAGGTTGGCTTAAAGGAGGCCCTCACCAACCTCCTTTCTGATGTAGAGGGATGGAAGCCCCCACCCTCTGAGTTGTTTGTTTGTTTGTTTTGTGTACAGGTTTTAATTGTTAGTAGAAAGGTGTTGTAGGAGGGGGTTGCAGTTTTCTAAGTCGGGCAAAGAGTACATTTCTTTTGCAGTGGCACCGCTTCCCTCACGCTCTCCCTGTTTATCCCTCTGTCCCCACCCACAAGTTGTACAGCTCATTTTCAACACAGTGTCTAGTGAGTACCACTGCTGCATTTGTTCACCCTTTGTCCCTCCATTTCTGTGCCACTCTTAGCTTCCCAAAGACAGATAAATGAACAAACGAAACCAAAAGAAAAGAACAGCGAAGGAAAAAGAAAACCCTCTTGCTTCCATCTCTAGGAGTTCATTTTGCTAACTATTATTTTTGCATGATCAGATGCACATGGGTATTGTGCCTTTGTGTTCTTCCAAGAATATCCTTTTCTGAGTTTTCATTATTATTATTATTTTGGTCAGTTGTGGGGCTTGAACTCTGGGCCTGAGGGCTAGCGCTCTACCACTTGAGCCACAGCACCACTTCTGGTTTTCTGGTGGTTTATTGGAGAGAAGAGCCTCATGGCCTTTCCTACCCTGGCTGGCTTTGAACCATGATCCTCAGATCTCAGCCTCCTGAGTAGGTAGGATTATAGGCGTGAGCCACGTGCGCCAGGTGTTTTTTTGTTTTATTTTGTTTTGTTTTAATAAGGGGATGGAGGATGCGGAGAGTCAATATGTCTGTCTGTCCCCAGGAAGACGTGAGGGTCTGACCAGAAAGCTTGTGTAACCTGTGGGGGGTGGGCCGGGGAGGGAGTAGAACCCTGGGCAGCTCCGCAGAGCCTGTGGTAGCTGATGAGCTATGTTCTGTGTCTTCTTCCATTGCACAGAACAGCAAGTCAGGACTGAGAGGTGCTTGTGGCTAGGTGGGCACTTGAACCTAGGCCTGGATATCAAGGCATAGGCGCCGGGTTGCTTCCTTCACTAGCCATGGGCCAGGGCTGCGCTGCCCCAGGACCATGGTCTGGGTACAGTGGGCTCCCAGGCTGGGCCAGGCAGGGTCACTGTGACCCCTCTGCCTGCTGTCCCAGGCTCAGTCCGCTTATCTCCTCACTGGCTTCTTATCGCTCTTCCCACCACCCCCACCCGTCCTTTCAATCTGGGCACAAGGGTATCTGCAACTCCTGCAGGGGGTGGGAGGCGTGAGCCCGGCCCACACAGCCTCTGCCTGAGGCAGCCTCAGTGGGTCTGAGTTTTCCTTGCCTCTACTATGATCCTGCATGGGTGCCTCCCTCCCAGGACCCCCTAGATGAGCTCAGTAGGGGCATCTGGGCAGAGATCCCTGTCTGGTGTCCCCTAGGCAAGCCTGTATGCTGGTCTGTCACTTGGGCAGGGCTGGATGTCCTGGCTCCTTGAAAAGCATGATGGGAAAGGCGGCCCCTACCCAGGACTGGGGTTGGGGCTTGGTGAGGTCTGGGGTTGGGTCTTAGTTCTGACAGTGGGCTCCAGGGCCAGGGAAGGGGAGAGTTTCTAACCCAGAGATACGATGAGGGAACATGGAGGAGACAGAGGCAGTAGCACAGAGCAGGAGGGGTGTCAGCCTTCCATGTTGCTCACCTGCTGTCTGGGCTGGGCAGGGGTGATCGTGGGGCCTGGAGGAGCTGTGCAGAGATCAAGGCAGGCTCTCCTCTTGGTCCTCCTTGCTCCTTCTTCCTGAGAAGGCCCCAGAGGGGAATGAGGGGCCTTCCAGCCCCTAGAAGACAGTGCTGTTTCCTAGCCCCAGGGCAGTACTGCCATGGGGTTTGGGGAAAGGGCAGAGGTCTGCTGGCGGAGAGGGACAAAGATACCCAGACACCAGCCCTGCTTTCAAAACCCCCCAGCAGCAGGGAAGAAAGCCACCTAGAGGGGGAGGAGGGCACCTGGGGCGAGAGGAGGCTTTGTGGGAAAGGTTGAGGGCTCATGGAGAAGCCTCCATTCCTGGGGGAAGGAGACGCGGCTTTTTTTGTGCCTAGTGATAAGGAGCACACATCTAGACCCAGGCAGAGCTGGGTGACCTTGGGAAGGTTTCTTTTCTCCATAAAGTGGTCTGGCTGACCCGGCCTCACAGGGCACCATGGTGACAATCCCAGTTCCTGCTCATCACAGGAGAGGGCTGGGTTCTTTCTGCACTGTGGAATCCTAGGAGGGCTCAGAGAGGGGTCTAGGGTTGTTCTGAATGCACAGCAAGGCTAAGTTTGTCCCCATAGGGACTGTGGACCAGCAATGCCCACCATAACCCTGGCTTGGTCTACCTCTAGGGGACCCCCAAAGAGTCTCTGTCCTGTGCGGGTGGTAGATTCTTCCCCTGAAGATCACTTTGGGTCAGCTTGCCGTGGCTTGGGTGCCAAAATGTATCATCCTTGCCATAAGAAAACACAATGGAGAGGATTTCAAATTTGAGGGCTGGTGGCTCATGCCTGTAATTCTAGTTACTCAGGAAGCTAAGATCTGAGGATCACAGTTCAAAGCCAAGCTAGGCAGGAAAGTCCATGAGACTCTTTTTTTTTTTTTTTTTTGTTTTTTTTGTCGGTTGTGGGGCTTGAACTCTGGGCCTGGGCGCTGTCCCTCAGTTCTTCAGCTCAAGGCGAACGCTCTACCACTTGAGCTACAGCGCCACTTCCGGTTTTCTCGTGGTTTATTGGAGATAGGAGTCTCACAGTCTCTCCTGCCCGGGCTGGCTTTGAACCGCGATCCTCAGATCTCAGCCTCCTGAGTAGCTAGGATTACAGGCGTGAGCCACCAGTGCCCGGCTCATGAGACTCTTATCTCTCATTAACCACCAGAAAAACAGACGTGGTGCTGTGGCTCAAAGTGGTAAAGTGCTAGCCTTGAGCGAAAAAGCTCGATAGCTCCCAGGTCCTGAGTTCAAGCCCCACGACAACAACAACAAAAAAAACAAAAACCCACACATAAAAACCCCACAACGACATCCTGCCGCACCCACACTGGAAGGACAACAAGCAGGGACCACTGGTCTTAACGCCAGGTACACACGGCAGCCTGAGGCAGAATGCGCCTGTGTGACTGTTCTGTTCTCCTTCAGACAGGAGGCCTTGCTGTCCTGCTCACCGTCTTGTATATCCAGGCCATGTAGCCCCCCTTTCTCCTCATGGATCCCAAAGTTCTGCAGAAGGCCCAGTAGAATTCCCTGTTGCTCTTTGTTCCTTGCTCCCGTAGCTCCTTGCTACTAATTGGTTTGGCTGGGGCCACAGGCCAGTGGCGTCCGGGGTTGAAATGGCTGGCAAGCATTGTGGGTACTCCTGTACACATAGATATTCTCTCCTCCCCCTTCTCTCTCTGTGTCTCTCTCTCGCTTTCTGATGTGTGCATGTGTAAGCAGATACTGTGGCTTGACCTCAGGACTTTGTACCTTCCCTTGGCTTTTTTTTACTCAGGACTGATACTCTACCACTTGAACTATAGCTCTACCTCTGGCTTTTTGCTGATTAATTGGTGATAAGGGTTTCATGGGCTTTCCTGTCCAGGCTGGCTTCAAATTGTGATCCTCAGATCTCAGCTTCCTAAGTAGCTAGGATTACAGAAGTGAGCTCTGGGTGCCTGGCTTTTTATTTTTATTTTATTTATTTATTTTTTCTTTTTGGGTCTGGTCGTGGGGCCTGAACTCTGGGCCTGGGCGCTTTCCCTCAGCTCTTCAGCTCAAGGCTAGTGCTCTACCACTTGCGCCACAGTGCCACTTCCAGCTTTTTCTGTTTATGTGGTGCTGAGGAATCCAACCCAGGGCCTCATGCAAGGCAAGCGCTCTACCACTGAGCCACCTTCCCAGCCCCTTTATTTTTATTTTTTGAAATACGTATTTTCTGGGTTTAACATATGCCAGGCCCTCTCCCAAGCCCTGGTCCCCTTCCTACGAGAGCCAGCAGGTGCACAGGATGGCTGTGGAACTGCAGCAGGCCGCACCCGGGTGAGAGGCAGGGCAGAGGCTCTGTTGGACCCTCTCATGAGAAAGGGACCCTTGCCCAGCTCACATCCAGATGGGTGTGGGAATGGAGGGGGGAGGGGCCCCAGCTGCATCCTCACATGGCTCTTCCCGCAGGTGGCTGACCAGATGTCCCTGCTCCAGAACTGTTGGAGCGAGCTGCTGGTGTTTGACCATATCTACCGTCAGATCCAGTATGGCAAGGAGGGCAGCATCCTGCTGGTCACCGGGCAGGAGGTGAGCGCCTCCTCTCCTCGCCCAACTCAGGGACTGTGCTAGGGGCGGGGTGGGGTGGGTGGAGCCAGGCCTGGGGGGGGCAGTGGAGCAGCTCCAGAGTGGGGTGGGCAGGGCAACTCTGCAGGAGGTGGCAATGGCACTGGTCCGTCTAGAAAAAGAAGTCCAAGTTGGTCAGCTGGTAACAGGCCAGGGACACAGGTGGGGCATGGCAGGAACCAGGGCTCTGAGGGGGACCAAGGGTGGGGGGAGCAGAGGAGGGAAGAAATGAGGTTGGAGGCACTGCTAGGAACTGGTGAGTAAGGCAGGCCCTGAATGAATGGCCTCAGAGCCACAACGTGAACCCGCATAGCACGGAGCCTGTGGGATAACAGGCAGGCGTAGGGATGGGGAGGGAGTGGGAACGCTGGGAAATGGAATGGGAGCGGCTGGAGGAGGCAGGTGCAGGGGCCAGGAGGGTGGGCCTGGAGGGAGGGGAGCTATCTCTCCTGCCTGGTGGCACCTGGCTGGGGCAGAGGCTGAGGTTCCGCAGGCCTGGTTCTCCCCCTGGGGTGTCAGGTCATTGGGAGCACAGTGTGGGGATGAAGGTGCCTAAGGAGTGACTTTGGGACCCAGGCGGGTGCAAATGCAGGGAGCTGGTGACCTGACTGTCCTGTGGGACCAAGTCTCTGTGGCCCCTGGGCCGTCCAGCGTGCAGAGGCGGGCCTGTGACGTCTCCCGTGCAGATCTCCACTCACACCGGGGCGCGTGGGCGTCTGCACCTGCTTGTCACCATGGGCACACGTGTAGGCATGCATGTGCCACTGTGAGTGACCGTGGAAGGTCACGTGTGGGTGTGCACACTTGTGTGCCTTCACATCCCGGGCAGGTGTCTGCGTGGATGTGGTGGGCGGGCATGTGGCCCCGCTGTCCCCTGCCACCGTCCCCGATGGGCTCTCCTTACTGTGGCTGCACAAGCGACATTCATTCATTTGTACTGCTGGGCCTGGCGGCGGCTCTTTGTGTGTGAAGGACCCTTCAATCCCCCGCGGTAGCCCCTGCCTGGTGGCCCTCCCACTGCCATCCAGGAAAACTGGGGTGTCCAGCTCCAGCTGGCACAGGAGATTGGGAGGTTCTGGGGTTCTGAGCAGAGGGCTGCCTGCGCCCAGCTCAGGGGAAAAGCTGGGCTCACCGGACCCCCCCCCAGATCCTGATCAGAGCCTCCTGCACAGGAGCTTGGCTGTTTCTCTCACTGGCCTCTCTGCCCTGCTCTGCTGTGCAGGTGGAGCTGAGCACGGTGGCTGCCCAGGCCGGCTCCCTGCTGCACAACCTGGTCCTGCGGGCACAGGAGCTGGTCCTGCAGCTGCACGCACTGCAGCTGGACCGCCAGGAGTTTGTCTGCCTCAAGTTCCTCATCCTCTTCAGCCTTGGTGAGTGAGCCCAGGGACTGGGCAGGGCATGCGTGGAGAGTCTAGCTGTGGTTCAGGTGGGGTCTGCAGGCTGAGGAACGGACTCTGAAAATGAGGCCACAGCCCTAGCAGGCATGTTGCTCTGTGTAAACTACCAAAGTGATGTCCAAGACTTGACCTTCATGGATGTGGACCCAACAGAGAACCTAGGGAACTACTGGACAAACAGTCTAGATATGTCCTTACTCACCCCTTTGTCCATTCACTCATGCCTTTTTCAGACAGTCATTCTGCCTGGCACACGGGTTCCCCACCCCAGAGCTGAGGTGACTGCCTAGATAGACAGGTAGATGTGACAGATGTGAAGAAGGAAGAGAACCAGCCCGCTGTCACCTCCCCGCTGTGTCTGGAGTCGCCCTCCCCATGGCCCTGTCCTCCTAGAACAGCTGGTCCGGGTGGTTAGGGACAGAGTTGGAGATGGATCAGGGAATCTGGGGCACGTGGAAAGGCTTCGTGGAGGAGGGACATGCCAGGGCGGTCTTAGAGGATGAGCAGGGGTTCTTTGGGTGGGTGAATCTTATAGCAGAGAATCTTGTAGCAATGAGATGGCAAGTTAGAACCCGCAGGATGGAAATGCTGTGTTTGTGGCAGTTGGCACTATAGCCACAGTGTGGCAAGATGCTCTAAGAGAGTGGGGTGTGGGGGACATGTTGGGGAGCAGAGAGGAGGAGGGAGCTGGTTAGTGGATGTGGCAATCCCAGTGCTAGGACTATGAGCTGGTCTCTGCAGGGGTCTGGAGGGGAGGGTCTTGGGTAGCCACTTAAGAACTGCTGTGGAGCTTAGGGGAGAGTCCTGGGAAGGGAGGGTCCTCCAGGCCCCCCTGTGCTTGAGTGCCCCTCCGAAGGGCTCTTCCTTCCATGGGGTGTAGGGAGGCACCAAGAAGAGACAGTTCTCTTCTTCTGGCCGGGCTGTGTGCTTTCCCCCTGCACATTTTCATCGCACTCTCCAGACAATGCGGCGAAGGGTGGGGAGAGCTGGGGCTTGGCTGGGAGAGGCTGTGCATGCAAACACCCGTGCATGTATGAAGCATGCATAGGCATGTGTAGGTGCACACATGTGGGGTGGAGTCCCCAAAGGAAGGGATGGACCCACCAGGATTCTAGCTCTGGTCTCTGCGGGCTTTGTGTGCTTGAGTCAGTCCCTTTCCTCTATGAGCCTCTATTTCCCCAGGTGTAAAATGTCCACCATCAGCTTATCTTGTTACAATGATGTCATGAGAGAATTCGCATTGCCTGACCTCTCTGACTTGTGCCATAATCACCCTTGGCCTCATGGACAAATGAACAAGCTAATGAATGAATGAACTTGGTGCCCTCATTGAGCTTGGATGGGGGGGTGAGTTAGAGAGCCCCAGCCTAGCAGGCCAGACATCTGGTGAGGTTGGGGCTTTGGAAGAGGAGGAAGAAGAAGAGAGCGGTGCAAGGCTTCTTTCCATTGAGGGTTTGGGGTGATTCCAGTTGGAGAAGGGTCCTGAGCGGTCTAGTGCAGCCAACCACCCAGAGAGATGGAGGCAGGCTTCTCTGATGTGGTTGGGTCTTGCATTCTGAGCAGTTTTCTGGGAACAAAGGAAGCAGTGTAGAAAGCATCCCAGACTGAGGAAAGGTCAAGCGAGAGAAGGGGGAATCTTGAAAGTCCAGGTAACTGTAGGGGGCAGGGAGGGGGTGCAGAGAGGCTGAGCTGCGGAGCCCAGCTGAGCACACCCCGACCTTCCCTTGGGAAGGGTTTGATGCTGCAAGTAACATGACTCCATTTGCGTTTTACTATGCCCAGGTCCCTTTCAAGGTGAGATCTGCGGCTGGGGAGATAGAGTCACCTGAGTGCAGAATAAAGGGTTCGTTAGTTCCTTCCACAGTCGCCCCCCTACCCCATCCCAACTCATGAGGAACTGGGGGAGGGATGGCCACTTGCCTGCAGACTTTCAGGCCACACACTGGGGGATCAGCCCGGGTAGCCTGAACTTGGGCGATGACTGTTCCCCCACCCACCTCGGCCACCCCACCCACTCCTCCTCTCCGTGCCTCCTCTTGCCTGCCTCCACAGAAGGTGCCATTTGGCGTCTAAATAGCGTCTCAGGCTGCTGGAGGCAGGTAAGGAGGTTTAATTAAAATTAGTGCCTCTCTCCTGGCAATCGCGGTGTTTATGAAGATGGGCCCGGCAGGCATTGTTCCACTGAGGACTTAATCGAAGCTTAATGGATTGACCTAACATTCGATTTCCTGATTCGCATTGAGGCGCGGCAGCAGCATTCCCTTAAGCGTTTGCAATTTACCCAGTGCTCTGAGGCAACAAAAGGCGGCCTGAATAGCAGCGCCACTCGAGGGGCCATTGTGCACAGGGGCGCCTGCCTGAGTCACCGCTATTGGGACAACATTCTTTATGCCTCACTGGAATGAAAAGATTATTCAAATATTCAATTAAACCGTGAAAAGGGGGCTTTTCTGAGATCCTGGGGGCCCCTGCCTCGGCAGAGCTAGCGGCTGCTCCCCGGGGTGGGGCACCGTCTCCCACACTCCCGGGCGCAGGATCACCGCAGTCCCCTCCGTCCCCCTCCAACTGTGCCATGCCCAGGGCACAGCTCAGGTCCCAGTCCTGGTGGCACAAACCCCATTTTGCAGATGATAGCAAACTGAGGCTCAGAGAGGGACGCACCTTGGCCTAGGCTCAGCCAGCTGGCTGGGGAGCTGGGTTGGGAAACACTGATCCATGAAAAGGGGGTGTCTCCAGGCTTGCTTGACCCCCCCGCTTTCCTGTCAGCTCCCTTCAAATCATTACAAGCTCTCTAGAAACTGGGGGGCATGGGGGACCTGTGGCCCATGTAAGATCCCAGGATCTGGTGGGGCTTTTGGCTGCCTTCCTGGGGGGACAGAATAAGAAGAATGTCTGTCTCCCAGACCCCATTGGGAATGGGGTGTGACCCAGCATGGTTCCTTAGCCTGCTCTCCCGCCATGGAAGGCCGCACACCTGGGTTCAAACCCAGGCTCTGAGTCAGGAGCATCAGCCTCCTCGAGCTGGGGGCAGAGGACTTGTCCCTCAGCACTGCCCTTGCTCTGCTCCTGTCCCTGCAAGCTGGGCCAGGGCTGAGGACAGGAGCACAGTGAATCCTGGTACAGCCCACACCCCAGTGCTCCCCAGCCTTCCCACTGTGTAGCATCCGAGCCAGCGCCCTTTCCTCTGCGCCCCTTTGCTGCTGGGTGGCCATGAGCTGGTCTCTCTCCTCCTCTGGACGCCCTGCCTCCTGTGGTGAATTGTCACGCTTTCCTTCCCTAGCTCTGGGGATGGCAGTAGGGTGAAGGCAGGTGGGCAGGATTGGGATATGGGGACAGATTGGGACAGAGATGAATGAGACTGGTAGATGTCGGTTGCTTCTGGGAAGCCAGCTTGTCGGGGTGACTTCCCACGGCCTTTGAGTGGGTCTGGAGCAGGCTGAGAGCAAGGCCGCTCTGTGCTGTGGAGTAGATTGTTCACCACACTGCACCGGGGCTCCAAGGTAGGGAAAGACCACAGCCTGGAATCGAACCGCATCTCCAGACGAGAAGAACTTTTTTCTAATGGCACAAAGGTGCCTGATGGCGAAGATGCAGAAGGTGCAGAAGAAAAATGATCCTGACTCATGGACTTGGAGCTTGAGGGGCCCCGGGGGTGGAGGACGGCCGCTACCAGACCCCACCATACGCTCTGGGCCTGGCTCGGGTTTCCCTAAATCCACCTATAGACAACACACAGCTCAGCGGGCACACGGAGGCGGCCGGGGATCAGGGTTGCCAGGAGAGCCGAGCTTCCTGGCGCGGGCCCGTGTTAAAGGGATTACAGGGCCAAGGGCTGCAGCCGCGTCCCACTCCCCCGCAGCGCAGCGCAGGGCTGGGGGCAGTGGGCGGGTGGGGAAGGGCATGGACAAGATGACCATCTTCTGAGCCGCTGGAAACGACAGCCTCGGGACACCTGGCTAGGCTTTGGGGATTGCAAGCTGATTCCAAGATTCCTGCTGCTGACCCTGAGCCGGGGACAGGGCGCCAGGAGGGGGTGTTGTAGGCAGGGGCGGAGGGAGGGGAGGCGGGGTTGGGGGTTGCTGGCCCTTTCCAGAGGAAGAAGGCCCTTTATAACAGAGGGCGTAGATGACACCCCTCACCCATGGCCCACGTGAGCACTGGTCCACGCAGAGCTGCCCTTCTCTCTCTCTCTCTCTCTCTCTCTCACACACACACACACACACACACACTCAGAAATCGCCTCCTCATGCCCCGTGGGGGTTTTCCTGCAGCCCCTCCTATATAGAATGGCTGCCTCCTGGACCAGCCTCCTGCTTTGACTTCCTTATATTGTGCAGCACCGGGAATGGAACCCAGGACCTCGCTCATGCTAGGTTGGCACTCTACAACTGAGCCACACACCCCAGCCCCAGTTTTACTTTACACAAATGGATTTATTCCCTAGACCTCCCTGAGCTTCCTGCCCAGTTCTTGGCTTTAAACCTCAGCCCAAGCACTCTGTTCTGTCACTGCATTGTTATGTTGGGAGCCCAGTCAGAGAGAGACAGAGACAGAGAGGCAGGTGTGTGTGGGGGGGGGGTGTTCAGGGTTGGTGCGTGTGGCTCTCTGGGGGGGGCATGGCAGCGAGATGGGGTCCCTCCACTCAGTGTGATTGGCAGGGTGCTGATGCTGATGACAAGGACCACAGGGATGACGGCAGCAGAATGGCTTCGACCATGGTAACCAGAATGGGGCTGGTGTTCCCGAGTTTTCCCGGCCTGTCATGTGGGCATGGCTGCCTCCTTGGGACTGCTTTCACTCCATTTTACAGATAGGAAAGCCGTGATTGAAATCACATACCCAGGGAGGCATTGGTGACGTTGGCGCTGGTGTTGGTGATTGCGCATGTCCGTGCCAGCCATGGCAGTGATGGCAGCGGCAATGAGCGTGGGGATGGTTGCTGGGGTTTGGCTGGGGCCGGCGGGGCTGGTGGGGGAGGCGGTTGGGAGGCGCGGGGTGGGGGTGGGGGAGGAGAGAAAGGCTGCAGCCACCCCGTGGCTTTGGTGATCATTGGGAAGGTGGTGCTGGCGACGCACCCACCCCTGGTGCTGATCGTGTGCGGCGGGTGACCACTGTCTCCTGTTGCAGATGTGAAGTTCCTAAGCAACCACAGCCTGGTGAAGGATGCTCAGGAGAAGGCCAATGCTGCCCTGCTCGATTATACCCTGTGCCACTACCCGCACTGCGCGGACAAATTCCAGCAGCTGCTGCTGTGCCTGGTGGAGGTGCGGGCCCTGAGCGTGCAAGCCAAGGAGTACCTGTACCACAAGCACCTGGGCAACGAGATGCCCCGCAACAACCTGCTCATCGAGATGCTTCAGGCCAGGCAGACTTGAGCTTGGCCCTGGGCAGCGGACAGGGGCGCCCGCCAGCATGCCGCACAGGCGCATTTCAGTAGGTGACCCCAGAGCCCTGTCCCTAGGCCCCTGCCCCCTGTGCTCTGGAGCTATGTTAAGGTGGTGGTGAGGATGGGCAAGGCAGTACTCTCTAGCCCCTGGCACTTGCCTACCACTCACAGTGTCCCAAGGAGGTGGCTGCTGACCACCCCACCCCCTGGTCTGGGAGGAGATTCTGGATTCCTTGGTGGGACTTGGCTGTCCCTTGGGTCAGCGGTCATCCCTTCCCCCCTCTCCTGGGATCAGAGGCAGGAGGAAGGCGAGCGGGCATCACAGGGAGAGAAGAGGGGTTCTGCAGTGCTTCCCCACAGAGGAGGGGGAAGATGTCTGTTGAGTAAATTAAGGATGGCTGAGTTTGCTAAATTTGGTAGGGGGTTGTTGACCCTAGAGGAAACTGGGAGACAGTTAGACAGAAGGACCTCTCCCCCCTCCACCGCGTGACCTCTGCATGGAGACCTCTGATCTGTTTCCAGGAAAGGACATTGCTACAGCCCCCCCCGCCCCCCTCACCCCACAGGGAGGAAAAATTTGGTACAGTCAACATTCCAGCCCCCCTTCTTCTTGGCCAGCTGGCTGGTACTAAGCGGCAAGGCTATAGGTTTGTTTTTCAATCGCCTAAACACTTCTGGAAAGGCGAGTGTACGTGAGGCAAGCTGGAGGGCTGATGGATGATTGAGCTGGGTACGGCCATTGCACCAAATACAGCCCAGGCCTCCTCCCTCCATCTCATATTCCAAGTGCTCCCTTCGGTGCCAGGCCATTTCTTCTGAGCGCTTCCTGCTCCAGAAAAAAGAAAAGGGGGGAAAAAAAAGCTACTGCTTTTCCTCTGTCCTCTCCCCAGGCGAACTGCAGGGGGGGCCCTGAGTTCTCATGGGTGGGTTATGGGCTTGTGTCGACCAGCCCTTCCTCTCATGGTCCAGTCCCATTGGGCCTCTGGCTGCCTCCCTAGAAGCTGGCCTCAGCTCCCTGGCTGCTGTCCTGTGTCTTGAAAGTTACTCTCTGGGGAGAAGCTTTGGCTGTTCTCTGCCCCGCTGGACACCTACTGTCATTTCCTGTCACCACTGCAGCTTGCGCTAGCCCAGCCCAGCTAGATGAGCTGGGTATCCCTGCTCCCTGCTTTTTTTTCCCTTCCCCTTTTTCTTTTCTTTTTTTTTTGCTGCCCTGACTCAGTCCCCACTCCCGTTCCTGAAACTCAAGCCCCTGCCAAGGCCAGGGACCCACAGCCCCAACACATGAAGTGCCCTTATGGATCTCCCAGTCCCCCTGCTCCCTGGAATAAATTTTGCAATTAGTTTACAGATAATTGGCTGATTTGCCTTCTGGGGCCCAAGCAGGAACTCTGGGATGGGTTTGTGGGGGGAGGGGAAGGGTGAGGATGGGTGATGCCCTGAGCTCTGAACTCTGAGGAGGTAGGAGGACTAGAGAGCCAGGTGGGGACCCCAGGCACGGCATCGGGCTGCAGCCACTTCGTCTCTGGGACTTTAAGATGCTGTGGGTGCTCAGCTCCACCCTGGCCATGCCAGCTCTGCCATCTTGGCTGAAAGGAACAGCCATTACTGAGCACCCTTCTATGTGCCCTCCTTCACCTCCCTGTTCTACAGGTGCCCGGGGAGGCAGGAGGGAAAAGCCCCTTTGCTAGTGAATCAGGGGACCAGATCCCAAGTCTGCATCAACCCCTTCTCTGCCTATTCAACACCTGGTCTAGACTTTACTTCCATTTACTCTCGCTTGGTGGCAGCAGTGGGCACAGCTGTCAGGGAGATGCTTGTTTGGCTTCAGACACCACTGACTTGTCTCTCAGATCTGTTCCAAGCCTTGTCTATAGATGGCAGCCCCAGACTACAGATGAGGAAACTGAGGCAGGTATGTGTGTGTGTGTGTGTGTGTGTGCGCGTGCACACCGCACGCCTGTGGCGTGTTCAAGTCCACACAGCTGAGAATGAGCACAGCCATCTCAAACCTCCATTGTTCTATCTTGTGCAACTCAATGAATCTCAAATAATTGCTCTTTATAATGGTTGTAGAAGTCTTCTGAAAAAGAGGACACTGGGGATACAAGGCACTGGGGATCCAGGGTTCCAGTTCCACCTCCTTGGAGCCCCTCCAGCCTCTTGCCAGCAGCAGGCAGATGCTCTGCTGGGGCCAGGCTGACACTCCGCAGGGCCTGCCCTGCCCTGCCCTGCCCTCCCTTCTTCTGCTAGTCTTTTTATTGTTGGTGGTGGTGGTTGTGGGGCCTGGGCCTGGGCACTGTCCCTGAACTCTTCAGCTCAAGACAAGCACTCTACCACTTGAGCCACAGTGCCACTTCCGGTTTTCTGGAGATAAGAGTCTCACAGACTTTCCTGCTCAGGCTGGCTTTGAACCGTGATCGTCAGATCTCATCCTCCTGAGTAGCTAGGATTACAGGTGTGAGCCACCGGTGCCAGGCTTCTGCTAGTCTTCTCAGCACAGGGCAGGGGCCCTGCCCTCATATGGGCACACCAGCTCCTCTCAGGACTTCTGGCCAACCTGGCCTGGCACCTTCAAGGCCTCAAACATGGCCTTCTGTGGACCCCATAGCCCCATGTCTCCGGCAACGGCTGACCGTTCCAGAGTACCCACTGTGTGCTTAGAACCCACTGGGTCACATGAACTGATGTTCCCTGTTCTGTTCAAACAGCACCAATCTCCCCAAAATGCCAGAACCCCTGGATGTCACCTTGTCCCAGAGCAGCCCATGTAAGGTCCAGAGCAGGCCACCAAGGCCACAGTGCCTCGTTGGATCTCCGTGCTTCTCATTCACCCCACCCCACTTTTGCCTCCCCTGTCCCCCCCTGTTTCAGCTCTGTAGTCCAGGGAGGGGTTCTGTTGCCCTCCAGTTCCACCCTGCCCTTTGTGCCATGTGCCAGGGCCTGAGTCAGGAGAAGAGGACCTGCCCCCCACCCCCTCTTCCCAGATGGCCTGAAACCTCTTCCGTGTCCTCAAGCCAGGAGGGACCCCAGACAGCAAGGGACAGTATATTTATCACACACATAGCAGGGCACTTCAACATTTGGGCAGGTGGAACAGGAGCAGACAGACAGACAGCGCGAGGGGCCAGGGGATCCCCACGGGAGCGAGGCCGTGGGGCAGGCTGGGCCTGGCTGTTCATCACATGTGGCATCCCCGCTGGGTTCTGGGGAAGAGATCCCAGGCCGGCCCTCAGGCACGGTCCACCATCAGCCTAGATGATGGCCAAGATGGGGAAGGACCTGGCAACAGGCTGGAGTGGAATCCTGGCTTCAGCCCTCCGAGATAAACCAGGGTGGCCTTTCTGATCCTCAGTTTCCCCATTTTCAGAACATCGGAACACCTGCAGGGGTCTCTGGCAAACTCCACTCCCTGCCCCTCTCACTCAGGCTGCGGGAGGGAGTGTGTGGGGGAGCTAGGAACGGGGTGCATCACCAGGGGCCGGGCCAGGGGTTGGGGGCCTGGAGGGTGGGGCCCAGGTAGAAGCGGCTCGGTTGCTACGAGCAGCCCTAGCAACGCACTCATTCAGCAGAGACAAAGGCGCTGTCACTTGAGCGCAGAGGCGCCGCTGCGGCTCTTGTTCTCGTAGGCGGCTGCGCCCGCGGGTGGGGGCTGGAGCCCGGGGCTGCACCGCGGGGTGCGGGGCGCCGGGCCCTGGATCTGCCCGAGCCGGGGCCTGCATCCCCCCGGCTGGCCTGCAGGGGGCGCCTCCGGCCCACTTTGTGGAAAGGCAGCTGCTGCTCCTAGGGGCTGAGCACCAGCTGGGGCAGATGCTGCCGGGGTGAGGGATGGTGTGCCGCCCTTACACCCACGTGCCTGGCCTTGTACCTCAGTTTCTCTCATCTGTGCAGGGGGCCTGGCTCCAGCCCTGCCAGTGACTTGCAGCACAATGGGAGAAAACTGTCCTTGGCCTCACCAGCCACTGAACTTGAAGTAGCCTATGCCTTGGGGGAGTTGTGTGTGTTGAGCGGGGCACAGCCTGGCCCATAGACAGGCCTCTCGCTGTTCCCGGAAGTAGTATTTGAGACCAGAAGGAGTTGCTCTAACCTTGTGGAAACTGAGGCACAGAGACTGACAGTGCACCCAATGTGCCCCCGTGCATTTCAGGTTGAGCCACTTCCAACTCAGTCCTCCTCCTGAGCAGGACCTACACTGTCCCCAGCCTTGCTCAGATGCCCACAGGCCCCTTCCCATGCCCCTTCTGCAGGTGCCCTGAGGGATTCTTGTGCTTCTCTCCCTAAGCAGGCCCATTACTGCTTAAGCGCAGCCCTGAACTGGAGGGGATGCTCCTGGGCACAGGGGCCTGGGTAGAACAGGACAGAGGACACCCAGAGACAGCCCAACACAAACACCAAACCCCACATGCTTGCAACCCTTGCGCCTCCACATGCTACCCATCCCTGTTTATCCACCTGCGTCCTTTTCAGAGTCCGGCGGCCACCGAGGCCTGGACCTCGGTCCCCACCCTGCCCTTCCTGCTCCATTCCGCTTATGCAGCTGTTGATTCTCTAAGGGGTTCCAGCATCACTTCCTCACCTGGACCTCATACACTTGCAGCAGGACAGCGAAGTTGGTGCTGTGGTTGCACAAGCATTCTGTGGAGTCTTCGTGCAAGGCGAGCCTGGAGCAGCCAGAGGTAGCCCATGAGCCCTGGTGTCTGGGCTTGGGCAGGGAGAGAACAGAAGGGCTGCTGAGATGGGGTGACCTGGGGTAAGGGCCAAGGGCAGGCCTCTCCTCATGCCTAGAACCCATGGCTACCCTGCCTGTATGTAGCAGTGGGACCTTGGCGGGTCACTGAACGAACCTCCCCAGCCCTAGCTGCCAATCGCTCAAATGTGCACAAACTTCCCTGAGATGGTAGCAGACAGAGCCAGCAAGGGTGTTTGTTATTTTGCACCTGCAGCTGTGAAGGATATTCATCAGTTTTAACTCAGGACAGGATGTTAGTGGTGCATTCGGGAGCCTCCTTTTCCCTTCCAACCCCCAGGCCCTGGCTTTACATATTATCACATCGAAAAGTCACTTGACAGACAAGCTTCCTCCCAAGTCATTCCCACCTGTCTTACATACCTCCTTGGTCAGGGAGCTCACTACCTCAGGGTGACACATTCTACCGCACTTGTCCTGGAGCTGGGTAGAGCCTGGAATTGCCCCTGTCAGGCAAGTGTGGAGGCCCCAAACATGCCTAAATTCTGCCTCACTTTCAAGCATTAGAAAAAAAAAGGCTTGGGCTGGGAAGGTGGCTCAGTGGTAAAGCGCTTGCCTTGCATGCATGAGGCCCTGGGTTTGATTCTTCAGCACCACATAAGCAAAAAGAAAAAAGCCAGAAATGGTGCTGTGGCTCAAGTGATAGAGCACTAGCCTTGAGCTGAAGAGCTGAGGGACAGCGCCCAGGCCCAGAGTTCTGGCCCCACGACCGCCCCCCCCCCAAAAAAAGGCTTTAGAGCTGGGTGCTGGTGGTTCACGCCTGTAATCCTAGCTACTCAGGAGGCTGAGATCTGAGGATCACAGTTCAAATCCAGCTCAGGTAAGAAAGTCCATGAGACTCTTATTTCCAATTAACCACCAGAAAACCAGAAGTGGCGCTGTGGCTCAAGAGGTAGAGCTCTCCCTTGAGCCGAAGAGCTGAGGGGCAGCACCTAAGCCCAGAGTTCAAGCCCCACGACTGACAAAAAAAAAAAAAGCCTTTATTTACAGAATACAGATATGGAAACTCACCTGATACTGAAGTTCCAGAAAGCACAGAGAGGCTCCAGCAGCTTCTGGGAGAAGGCCTAGGGGCAGGAACCAAGGACAGATAGAGA